GCCAAAGTGGAGTTTGTAGTCGAAAAGTTCACGACCAATTGGAATTCCCGGTTTGGGACCGGGAAAATGGCCCCCCAGGGGCCGGAAAATCGTGTTTCGGCCTTGATTTTTCTGTACTTTTGAATTCTAGAATGAATACCATGCTGGAATTGTGTTTTTTCTCCGATGAGTAATATTCAGTATTTTAATTATACTAGTTATAATACTTAATATTTAGTCCCTAATAGAATATTGTATAATTTAAAAGGCCCATTCTTAGCTAAACCTAGGATGAACGACGTGGACCTGACGGGCTACGCATCTCTTCGGGGTGCTTGATTATCGTGAGTCCCCTTGCCTCTCACTAATAGATATTTTGTATAGGTTTGACAGTAGAGATAAGAACCCCACGGTTCGTCACTCATGAAGTATTTTATGACTCCAAACCCTCTCTACTGTCTTTCTTATCTGCAGCTTTAAAAATTAAATCCCAACATCTAGGACTCGCTCTAAAACCTGGATAGACGGATATTTTACATACCCTTGATGACGAGCCCACCCCAAGTACCAAATTGCTGCGATCACATGAGAACAAGCTCATAATGTCCGTGCACCCGACTTACATGTGCAATAATACCCCTCAATAGGATCAAACTCATTCACTTCATTTTCCACGTACTCTTCATTAAAAGCAATAAAAACTTAGTGAAAAATAGCTCTGCGAAAGCGAGAAAGTAGTCGTAACCTTAAAAAGCCGGGTAGATTAATATTCGTATCTGTTTGTATTGCATGTTCTTCATCTTTCTCTTCAACTGCTCTTAATAAAGTATCTTGGATGTATGAAGGAGCTAAGTTTAATTGATACACCCCACAAGCTATATTCCTAATATTTTCAATACTTAATCGAGGAAATAATTCCAAATGTCCTTCTGTTAATATAACCCATCTTACTCGTCTTGCTTGCATATTTTCAACTTCTACAAAGACTTGAACTGTATTTACATCATTTATTTCTTCTCGCATTCGTAATGCTAGTTCAACAGTTGCATCAGCCAAATCAATAGGTCCATAGTATCGATTTATTATTGCTCCACCAATCAATAGAAAATCATTTAGCGTCTTAACATGGGCTACATTTATGACATGTGCGAATATCTTAAATATATTCTTCAGATGTCCATTACGAGATTCAATGACAAATCTTGTTTTTGTTACAATTCGCGATAGATTTGCCTCTTCTGTTGTAAGCTGTCTCCTCCCTCGATCTAGCAATTGATTCTTGATAATTGATTCTTAATCTATCGAGTAATGGGATCACATTTCTGTACCCTCTATCTAATATGAAACTAACGCCTTCTTGTAGCCAGTTACGCATTATATCTTCATCTCGACTCAAACGGTTAGCTAAAATATTTGCGTCATTATTGGCTGCGTTAGAAAAGTATGGACCCTGTATATCCAATATATAGCCATTTGGAGCAACAAATATTGCTGGCTTCAGAAGATGTCTACCTTTATGAACACAATACGAGCATCTTAAAACTTCAAAACAAGAGCTTTTTTCAATATCAAGGTAGGTGCAATCATTGTAGATTATTGCTTTTGGCTCTTCAGGTATTTCATTATATAAATGCGTCGAAAATTCAGTGACATGATTCGCAATATATTCTTGCCTCGAAACAGCTCCAAATCCTATATTTTCTGGAGTAAATCTTAGAGTCAGTGAATGCCTTACTAAGCTGTTTGCTAAACTGGTAGAATGTCTTGAAGTATAATTAAAAATTACTTTCAAGAATTCATCGCCTACACCTTGCCTCATCTTGCAAAGAAAACATAAAAGATCCTTCTTGTGAACATATCTATAACTATTATCGATTATTATAGGATCGCAATAAGTATACAATTCATTATACTGTTCTTTGTTTATTAGGGAAATTGTTTGATATTCTTCATCTGTAAAACAGGTTTCGTCATCATACTTGTTATTTGCTATATACTTTACATGTTCACGAAAACCCTGTAAGAATGCATACGAATCTGCTCCTTTTAAAATATACGGTCTGTTGACAGATCTTAATCTACGTAATAAATAATTTAATAACAATCCATTAACATCCATATGATGGTGGCAGAATAAGCAATTACTTGGAACATAAATATTCAGCTTAACAAAAATATCAATTCTACATTTTAAATGACAGCCGCTGAATGTCATGAGTTGCATATTAAAGAGGTACTTGAAGATGTTTGGGTCAAAACATTGAGTCTCATGCAAGCCGGGTCATTTTCGAACATACGAATTTCATTTATGATCGGGATATTGCAATTATTACATATACGAGTATCATATAATATCTCCAAGCAGGCCTACCGGCAATTTCTCTTTTTTGCATATTGTGGTCTCCTATTAATCTGGACATAGCTCGTGGTATTAGAGCAGCATTACACACAAAGCATGGGATTCTTGCAGCCATGTCTAAAAATCTTAGAAAAGTGGTAGTATTTCAGAGACACCAGAATTCGCTATATGCTAAATAGAAAAATGCCCGGAAGCATAATTTGAAGTACCTTTTAAGAGAAACCGAGGGTTTTTATATCATTAATATGGGACAAAGCATCAAAGGATTCAGCATAAATAATCAAAACAAATCATGAAGATATGAGAAAATACTATTTTAAGGAAACAATGTTTGCTTGGCGCAAATATGACGAAGGCGGAAACTGAGGAGTTGCAAGCCAGAAACGTGTCTAGAGGCAGGACTCCACGTTCAACAAGATAGGATTAACAAAGTGAAGACTCCTTATCTGGAAACAATTGACCTCAGCCACGTCAGGATCGACTGCAACAGTGTCAGTACATGGAGTGAGTACAACATTAGACAAGAATTAGAGAGTAGAGAGAGAAACAGTAGAGAGGGCTTGGAGTCATAAAACGCTTCGAGAGTGACGAACTGTGAGTTCCTTATCTCTACTGTCAAACCTATAAAAAATATCTACTAGTGAGAGGAAAGGGGACTCACGTCAACGTCGTTCATCTTGTGTTTAGCTGAAAATGGGTCTTCTAAATTATACAATATTCTATTATGGACTAAATATTAAGTATTATAACTGGTATAATTAGAATACTGAATATTACTCATCAGAGAAAAAAACACAATTCCAGCATGGTATTCATTCTAGAATTCAAAAGTACAGAAAAATTCGCTGTCGCGATTGCAACGGCTGAAACACGATTTTCCGGCCCCCGAGTGGCCATTTTCCCGGTCCCAAACCGGGAATTCCAGTTGGCCGTGAACTTTTCGACTACAAACTCCACTTTGACTTTAGAATCCATCTTCAATCATGCCTCATCCCGGAATCCACCTTTCAGGCCAAATAAAGGCCATTTTTGACCCCTGGGGCCAATTCCTGACGTGGAGGACCATTTCTGAGCTCGAGATCGGATTCAGCGTCAAAAAATACATGGGAATACATATGTCCGACCCGCTCCTGTGAACCCTTTTTTTGGTTTTTGTGGGGCTGTGTTATAGGTGTCTGACAGATAAACAACGCGTTTTTCAACTTTCCATCGCTTATATCTTGGATCCGAAGCATCTAGGCACTTTGTGCCCATGGAGACTTTTGCTCGGCATGACTTGAAGAAACTATTCTAAAAATTTCAAAACATTTGACCGAAATTCAATTTCCACAAGAAACGTGCGGGGTCCTTTATCACTTCATCTGAAAATATTATCAAACTTCAATGTCTGAATAAACTCAAATGTAAATTAGTTACACAGCGTATCTTTATCTTGATATTTTTTGTTCTTAGTACACCATTAATCTTAGCTGCCTTTTTTTGATATCCCTTTTTTTACCACCCGAATAGTTTTTCAATATCTTCTTCCGAATAGCCTTTGTTATAAGAAGAATCTTTGGAAACCGTTGGCTCTATAGCTTTTAGTTTTCTTTCAGTTCACTCATAAAGGCATCGAAATATTTAAGATTTAACAGAGTATATGAAAATTGCTTTTAAATGCACACATTTTTAAATTATTTCGTTGTAGGAATCATCTAGGATAAGTAAGTCTGATGACGAGAAATATATGGATCAAAACATTGCTGTAAAAGTATTGAAAAAAAAATAAATACATTTTTTATAATTTTTAGAGGACTATAGTTTTCAACATACTCGTAACTACAATTATTGGCTCACTGGCAACTACTGCATACTAAATTTTTAGGTTCAACCTGTTAAAAATACAATTACCAGAAGATTTCTCAAATTCATACACTTTCAGTTATTGACACCCAAGACGTCAAAAACTGTAAATTATTGACACCCGGTTGTCGTTAAAATTGGAGTGAAACATCATAAATTTTAGGCTAAAATATTCAATTTTATATTAATTATGCATGTTTCAAGTAAACATAACAGGTATATACATTAAAATCACTTTCAAATAGATACCTACCTTTGGGCTACTGTTATGGTATGATTAGCGCAGTATTAACTAGAAAGGGTACGATCGCAACCTACTCATTATAAGCCATTTATAAGCACTATTACCAACGGAAGAAAACAAAAATCAAGAATGGCAAAAATTAATGTACACTGCTTAAACTTATAAAAACAAAATGTTTCAAAATTAAAGCTAATATATGATAAAAACTGCATGACATGTCAATCACCATCGCACTGTCAATAACTCTGGGTTACCCTACTTTCTACTACTCAAAGTGACCAACTTAAAAGTAAAAATAAAGGAAAATAAACAAAACTCAGAAACCGTATTATGCAAACGTCGAGTGATCATAAAACAACTATCTTTTGGTTAATGCTACAAGCATTGATTTATAGCCAAAGAAAAACAACATAGATGAAAAATGATGTTCAACACTCTTGCTTCGATTTTACTCATTAAGGAGAAAATCATTTTGATTGAGTTTAAAATAATTGTATAAATACGAGTAAATAATAAATGGGGATGCGACTCAAATTTTATTTTAAATTTAGCAAGTCATTATATATTTTTGTTTAGCAAATAAACCCAGTGAATATTGGAACCGAAGGCAATGATCAAGTCGTTGTTATGCCATATTTAGAATCTATCAGACCAGTGGATGAGAGCTTAAAAGAAATAGCAGATTTTCAATTTTATATTGCCTATGATTTCTACAATGTTAGTCATACAGAATTTTATAAATCTCCATATTACGCATTTTTTGATGGTAAGTAGATATGTACTTAATCTATTGGAAATAATTTTCTTATTTGAAAATATTTATTAAGGCACTCTTCATACTCTTACGATGTCGAAGATGTTACTATTATTTTATTTTTAGCTGTTTTGATAAATTTACTATATTATTTATGCCACCGTTCCTCTCTCTCTTATGATGAATCTACTAGACCCTTTTTCTATTTGAAGACTAACAAGAATCGGTCTTTGTTTGTTAGATTATAAAGTCGGTGCAGAACAAGTGGTGCAAGTGTTTAGAAGTAAAACTTTCTAGTTCTCCTCGTAGTTATATATGACTATTTCAATATCTACAGTAACTTATAAATTTACGAACTAGAAGACGATTTAATTTTCGATATTCTTCTTGTATAAAAATAATTGAATACCAGACAATAATATAAATTTAAGAAAACTATATACTGGAAATTTAAGAAAATTTGAAAATATTAACATAAAATAGTAAACGTTAGTTACTTTTTTATACAACCTAATTAAAAAAATGTATATTGCTACCAGTGTAAAAAATACACAATATCAGTACTTCTTTAAGGGTTAGAGAGTATTTATGCAAAATATAACCAAATGAATAATTAAATAACTTATAGTACAGGAGTTTTAAGAAAACATTCCTAAATCCCGAGGGCTGAAAAATCACGAGAGAAAAATTATCTTAAGAGATTCCGTTTCAAGTGGTATTTAAACACATGACGTCTTTAGCACCATCGAAATGCCATAACTACTAATTGAGGACTTCCATACAAGGACAATGCAACCAACTGGACAAAATAAAATAGTAGACAATAAACAATATTAATTATACCTTTTTACCATGAGATATTTTGGAAACCTAAATATTAACAGTGTATTCTTGTTCATATAGATAGATAAAATTTCAGTAATATAGAACGAAACATAATATACTTTTCTTTAAAATAGCAATGGTGCTTTAGGAATACATTTTATGTATAAAAATGAAGCAATACTACCTATAACTAAATGGAATATTACTTCAGCCTTCTTAAATGTGTGCATAAAAATATTAAAATTTTAATTTAAAAGTATAATACTACAGTAGTATATTCGCTAAATTATAAGTAATTATCGGTAATTATACACAATATACTCAGGCACAATAATTCGACGTTCAATGTTATTTAAACGATAAAATAAATTGTCAAGCCTTGTTTTGAATTATGATACCTACCCCTAAAAAAAGTGTTATCGAACTAAACTTGATTGGCATTTTAAAGCAATTAAATTAAATAAACCAAAACTAATGGAACCACAAAAATAATTTAATTAAAGTGCGAAATAAACTGACAATGGATGATATCAGAACAAAATAACTAACTTTATTTATGTAAATTTTTCGATAACCAATAAAATACCTTTAAGTAAATGTTTCTACAATATCAGTCTTGGACCATTTGGTTTTTGGTATTTAAAATTTTATCACGTTGACTTAAAGACAGAATACCAGGAAGCATATCTTTATTTTTATTGTTCAGTTCACTCAATGGTATCAAGTTGTTGTAATATGATTTCTGAAGGTTTGACACATTTTTTTCTAAATTTTTATTAGTTGCTCTTTCAACGTTTAATTTTTTTGCCAAACTAGCATTATTTTTTTTTAATAATAATATTTGCTATATAATTTTTTGCTTTTATTTTAATTATCTAATAAACCATTATGACTTTCATTCGAAATTTCTCTTAACTAAAACAATAAATAAAAAAACACAGGAAAATATGAAAATAAAAACAAACATGGATTTAAGGAAACAATTGCTGTAAAAACAGCAGAAAATATTTTTTTTTATTGGAAAAACGATATCCAAAACTAAATAAACACTCTACAAAGCAAAAGAAAGACATAACGGTGAACCTTATAACGGTTAATCGAAGACTGTTCATTCACGTTTTTCATTGTACTTGTACCTCATTGTCCTCATTGTACCCAATCAATATATCTATCTTTATTTTTACAATACTATTACTGCAGGATAAACGATAATCGTGGATTTCGGCAAACGAACATAAGAAAAATGTTGCCAACTTAAGCTGACTACTATTTCCCTCCTAGCCTTAGTGGTCCCTTTATCTATTAACTGTGTTTATGTCGCGATCCCCTTAGGTATACCAGGATACCTATTCTCTAACTCATGGGAGCACTCCCACACTCCCATGCTCCCATACTCCCATGCCAACGTTGCCAAGTCGACAGAATAACTTTGATCTACTATTTAAGGACCGATCCACCGTTGTGTTAAACGAAGTTTAAAATGACATTTTTACATTAACAATGTCATTTTAATCTCCGTTTAACTCAACGGTGGAATCAGCCCTTAGTAATTCAAATTTGCTTTGTGATAAATACGGACCTAATCTGGCAAGCCCGCAATTCTCCCTCCCATAGTATAAAATCTGACCTTACTACGCATGTACCTGGGCTAAAAGTGAGTAAGCACGATATACCCACCTAAGAGTAAGAGAGCAAAATATATGGGAGCACTCCCATGTGAGCGCTCCCATGACTTAGTGAATAGCTATCCAGCGCTGATTCTTAAAAATGTTTTTTTTTCTTTCTTACTAGTAATTTATTACTTTAAGGTATGCTTATGGTATTTTGAAAAATATATAACGAAGCCCTGCGGCAACAATTTTGTTTGGAATGCCTAATGAGGGGCATACCATAAACTAGTGTAAATGTGTTTGTATGTTTTATGGTACTTGTAGCAGCAGCATTTTGTATTTGACATAAACAGACAAAACCAAATCAAAAGAAATGTTGAAATAAAGCGGAAGAAAAATAATTCTACACAAAAAGACTATCAAAAACAAAATAATAAAACAATGCTTCGCTTGTGTTAAAACAATATTGACATCTGATATTAAAATTTGTTTTCAACCTTTTAAATGTAAAATACCGTAAACTTAAAAGTATTTTTTACGTTACAGGTACAACATAAAAGTAGATGAGAAAAACCAAAAACGAAACAAAAATAGCCTCGTTACGTCACCGATTTCTTATGTAAATTTAATTGTCTCAGGTTAATTGCATTGACCTTCTATATAAGTCCTCTGTTGTCATTTTAACTATAAAAATTAACTCGTATTTTATGATCTTTTTCTAATTCTCTAACTATTCTCTACCCGGCAATGTGACGTCATCGAAGGTACTTCACATCACGTGCATTAAACTCCTAGTTTCGTTCAGTAGTGTTGTCTTATATTGCTATATTACTATTTAGCCAAGAAGCCTTTTTACAAAGGAACTTGTGATTTGTATGTTATTGCCTACGTTATAGTGTCACTTTGATTCCTAATAAAACAATATTCAATTTTTTTTTAGTGAAAAATCCAAGGCAAAAAGTACGGACACCGCAGTTTAATCACATTTCGATGGAAATACCGTCATTTCCACTCCTTTCACAAAGAGAAGAAATTGCAGATGACATGTTTTGTAATAATGACACAATTCAAAACAAAAATTGTTTAGAAGAATACTGTACATGCGCTCATGGTATAAAAGTAAGTTAGACAAAGGTTTACACGGAAATGATATACAGCAGTGGCGGCTCTTGGTTAGAGACATTGGGTGTTCTGCACGATTCTCCCTCACCCTCTCAAAAGAGAGCAATTATGATATTACAGTTTTTATTCACCTACTATTTATAAATTAAATCTATTCCGCGATCCTTTTTAGCAGCAAAACTTTACACTTACGCGTATTTAAAAAAATATATATTTATGTTTGTTGACTTATAAACTACAGCCATGTCTTTCATGTACAATGGTAACGTGCGCTGGCTAATTAACACAAACTAATAATCTACAAAACTTAAATCTAATCACTTATGCGACAGACTATAAACAAAGCTCACCGATCTGGCAAAAATGTAGCCAAAACACTAAGAATCTTGCCGTTATTTTTTACAGAGCCGCGAGGGGTGAGGCGATGAGCACGGCCAGCCCAAGAGATGTACCGAAGCGATTCAGCTAAGACGACTTTGCCAGCTTTTGTCAGGTCTTCCACTAATATTGCGTTTGTAATTACGTCACTAGACGTGTTAGTGGGGACGGAAACTAATTGTTTTATAAGCACTTTACATTTGAAACAAATGTCTATAACGTATTCAGATGGATACTTCAACCCCCCTTTTTTCTTATTGTCAATAAATGAATAATGGTATAAGTTTTTAGTTTCACTTACTAAGGCTCTTAAACATTCATTACAAATTATTCGTTTCTGTAGATAAGAAACGACGTAACCATCTATCTAAGTTACTACATACTTTGAATATGCCGAAAAACGATTGGCACATTAATATTATGTAGTCTGTATTCCCGCGATGTTATATTTAACAAACGTAGAGGTTCACAGATTAACATTTTTATATGTTCAAACAAAATGCAGTTTCCATGAAAACTTTCTCTAAGCTCAACAGGTACTAATATTTTTTGATATGCCGACTAACATTGTCTGGCAATTGTGATTCAAAATACGGTCTTGTGAAAATTTATAAAACCCTTAAAGTTTCTGTCATAATTAGCTGTATATAAAGTGTTTTTAGGCTCAATATATTAATTTTTAAACCAAAAAATCCAGTGTGTCTGTCAGTTTGTAAAATCAGAGAATCATCAACATGGATCATCAAATTAGATATATATTTATCTACCGAATTAAAAAATAGTGTATAGAATTGTACTTGTTTAATTTTAGGGGCTTTTTATATTCAATCTGCAATAAATTTGTTGAATTTAATAAATTAAACAAATTATTTATGTCTAATAAACATAACTGTGGCATCTACTCCATAAAACTGTGGCAAAGATAATTGCAAAATTCTAAAGCTACTGCAACGCTTTTACTAAATAATTAAGGAGCCAGAGACACTTTCATTTTATGTTTACCAAAATAAATATGTTGCGCTCGTAATTTATTAGTCAACAAAGTTTCAGTTTCTTGCAAATTAAAAAGTTATTTCAAATATCTTCAGCCTACTAATTTGTGATTATCATAAATAAGGAAGTATTTTTCGACTATAGTATTGCGGACCAATTAACCGTATAATCTAAATTACAACCTAATCGCTTTGCCATGGTAAGATTGACTGGGGCGCCATCAAATGTTAAACTGACCACATCTTCACTTAGATCATGACATTTTTCCAAACAATCTAACACTAATCCACATTTTTGATCCCGCTCTAGTACTAGCTGTCAAGAAATATCCTATGGGAATTTTCCAACTACTGTTTACACAATTTATCAAAAATACCCAGACTTCCTTAGTCAGAACTTGTTTTTGTAAACCTATGCCCATGTCAACATATACATAGCACTTTTTTCCTGGAACTCATTCTTCTTATTGTCGGATAGACATTTCATCCATAATTAAACCACATATAATTTTTTTTTAGAACTTGAGCTTGCCTTAACCCGAAGAGCAACGTAAGCCTCTTTGGTAAAACCTGGTTCACCATCATTTCCCTGATAACACCTGCTTAATGTTCGAGGATGGGGTAAAGGTGCATCAAATATTGGCCTCTCAGTGGTATGCAGCAGGAGAATAATAATGTAATATCAAGGCGAATGTTTTCAACTCTTTGAAATAACTTATGGGAAGTGATTTATTCTTAGCTTTCTTTGGTCCTTCTAGTTTTTCAATAAGATCTAAGGTTTCTTCTTGCATAAATCTTTGTTTTTTAAATTACTGATCACTGCCTTCGAATTGGCAATATGTTTCTCCCTTCTCCAAAGTTTCTTTTATATATTTTTTAGTTTTCTTTTTCTCTCAGTACTGATTCTGTTAGAATGACGCAGTTTATTTACTAAATTGGAACTCTTTGAGTTTGTTCCAATTGTTGCAGATTCTTTAGTATCAGTTATGATAGCTGTGATGAGCTAGCAGCAACTTCAACTTGTGAAGGCTGCACTTATATATTAGAGAATATAACTTTAGGGCGTACCTGTATTTACTACCTAAAAATTATCATTCAATTCAATATAAAGTAAACCAGTAAGAACAATGTCTTTTGCTTAGTTAAATCGTAGAAACCAAACCATAATAGTCAAACTCATTACAACTTAAAACAAAGATCTTACTTCCGCGACTATCAAAAGAAAACTGAGTTCAGCTTAGAGCTCACATACTTTGATTTTCTTTTACTATAAGGAGAATGGTCGCACTGCGCAGCTTTCTGAGTGCCTTTTAAAAGGAGATAAAAAAACTCCGCCATTTTGATCCCTTATTACGTGTTGCCTACATCTTGGCGCAATATTTTTAATAGGTGCGTTTTAATCATCCGCTTCTGCTTCGGAATTGTCGGTCTTCTTGTTTTAATCTGACAGGTTAAAACGACTAATCAGCTCACTCGGACCAGTTGAAAGTTCCAAAATAATATCCACTCAAGGGCCTCAATTCTCGACTTTTTTTCCCATGGGAAAAAGATAATTTTCCTATGGGAATTTATATTTTATATTCTCGACACATCCACTAGGAATATTTTCTCACGAAAAGTATGGGAGCAAATACACCTGGTATTTGGCATGGGAAATCAAATTTCCAATGGGAATCTGTCACCGGTGACATTTGCTAGTTACTTCAAATAATAATATTTATATATTATTATTACTAATATACCTTTCCTAAAATGGATGAAGCTATTTTACTTTCCCAATTAAACAATATAGAAGAGGCAGAAAGAAGAGCAATTAATGTCCCAAGAGATTTTTGGTCTAAGTGGAAAAATGAGGCAGGGGATCCCTTGGAACCCTTAAATGATAGACAATTTCTCAAATATGATCAACGCAAGTTTTCTAGAATAAGCAATCCCAGAATAAATTTTGTTTCATTATTAGGAATAGGCTATTTCAGAATAAATTTTGTTTTATTACGCAAAATAAATAGCAACTGTTAATAACATAATGAGATGTTAAAAAATTTGAAGCTAAAATATTGAACACTCTTAAAAATCCTTAAAATTCCTTTGTTTCTGCTATTTTTTCCAAGGCACAAGTTATTCGTTCTTTTGCCAAAACATTTATCTCTAATAACTTGAATTTTTTGTCATAATAATTTTCTTTATTAAAGTTTTTATTTTGTAACATGCGTTCAATATTTCGGCTAGTATTCAAGGTTTCAGTTAACCTTGTAGCAGCTACTCTTCATTTTGGCTTTATTGTGCTCCTTGTACTAGGTTGAGCACATGATATATGTTCACGTTATTTTCTAACAAAAGGGGGTTGATTGTTTTCTCTGACAAGATGGCAAATGGCAAAACAAGAGTCAAAAGTTGACGATATAATCAATGATCCCAACATTACTACTTGAAAGTATTGAAATATAATATTGATTATGATTGGTCAGTTTCCAATATTTACGTACTTAATACCCGACATACGTTAGACATACGAATAATCGAAATTCCCATAGGAAAAAGGTTTCTAACCTAGTCAAGAATACCATTTTATAATACCACTGGAATATAAGCATGGGAATATTTATCCATGGGAAAATATTCCAGTGAAGTCGAGAATTGAGGCCCAGGGATACAAATTCAGGATACGTAGAAGACTGCTGTTTTATTATTCGCTCCGTGCGAAGTCATGGAAAGGGAAGCAAAAGCGATACTAGCGCTAGCTGCGGATAATTCGTGCATTTTAGGGCGATATTTTGTAATTTTGGCATATCAAATACACGTATACAGTTTACTTCTTTTTCAAAAAAGTAGGTGAAAACAACACAATAAGCAACCAGAGTTGCTGTATTGAAAATTGTACAAATACTAGTAAAAAAAAACAGTGAATTTTATATAAAAAATTTCACTAGCAAAGTGGAAATTAAATCGAAGAAATAAATGGATAGGTGTACAATAAGAAGAAAAATTACCTTTATTTTTGTGATAATAACAGTAATGCTGGAAATAGAGAGATCAGAAACTTGAAAGGTTTTAAATAAACAATAAATTATCATTTTACGATGTTCTTTATTATCCCTTTATTCTTAAATGTTCATTCAGCAAGGACTAGATTTCAAGATTTTTGCGTTTGATTATAATATGTGGCTGGAATGCAATTTTGTGACTTACTGATGGGAAACCAGTTTTAATAATTCATTCTGTTTTCTTTCGAACAAAAATGAAAATATAAATAACGATCCTTTTTTATACATTTTTACTTCACGCTATTATAACATGGTATTTTGTAATTTTGACAGAATAGGCTAATTCTTCAATGACAACTTATTAGACTTAGGCAACTTCTCACACATTTTCCAGTAAATACTGTTGCCTGCCTATATTTTATTATTGATTTTTAAAGAGTATACATAATTTTCTTTAATTTAAGCGGGAAAAATATATAATAACAATAAACTAATGTTTTACTTGTTTTACAAATCCATATACTTTTATTAAAACTAACATATATACTTTTTATTTACGAATTCTATTAAAACTTGTATTTGTCAGTATAGGCAGAAATAGTCGTTTAATACCAAAACAAATTGGCGCTGCTGTCGCGCACAG